AGCAGGAAAATTGTCTGTCTGTGAAGGAAAAAGGAAAAGAGTTTACATCTTGCGCAACACTGAAATGTGTCCTGGTGTGCAACAGAATCTCGTGGTGAAAGAGATTGATTAATTATTCATAAAAAAAGGGTGGGAAAGAGGGAGAAATGGAGAGGGGCTTTAATCCTTAGATTTGTGCATTTTAATTAGTCAAGGAAACATGCTAATTAAACATCCAAAACACTCAGTTGCACATTTGTGAACTTAATGACGTACAAATAAGCATGGAGAAGCAAGGCAGAAAATGGAATGAAGAGGAAGGAGTTTGTTGGTATAAGAAAATGAGAGGATGAGTTGTTAAAAGCTTTGCACACTCACCCACACATGCACAACCCTCTTTATCCATCAGGGAACACCCCATTCACTGTTGTTCGTAACAGAGGCTAATTGTATTTACTTTAGACTGACACTAACTGTAAAATAAATAAGCAGGATTACAGCGTGAGTGTGATAACGCAGTGTGATCTTTATATTCAATATTTACTGCCTTGCACTACAGTGTCTTAATGCTCATTAATGTCTCACTGAGTTTATTTTATTGCATTATATTTAATTTTATACCTTATATTGCAGATTTATATTATTTATATTGCATAATAATATAAATATTATAAGAGAGATGAGAGATAAGAGAGATAGAAAGATATATATATATATATATATATATATATATATATATATATATTCCTCTCTTTTATCTGTCACATTTTTTGTTTATTTAGTATTTTGACTTTGTGTATTGACATTTTGCCAGTATTGCATGGGGGGAAAAATCATGTCAATAAATAACCTTTTTCTTTATTTCTTTCTCTTTTTTTTTAGGATTCATAAGGTTTTTACACATTGTGACATTATTATATGACAATTAAGCACATTTTCTCCAATATTCTCAATTTCTTTTTCAATTTGTAATTCTTACTCTTCTAATAAAATATTACTGTAATATATTAATTTTACAAAACTGGCACAACAAAATTATACAATGTTATACAATTGTACCAATTTTGTGAAATTATTCTATTACAGTAACATTTAAATATTTATTATTTCTATTTAAATCATTCGATTTTTTTTTTATATTCATATACAACTATCTTGAGATTTTTTCTCTTGCATGGTAAGCATATTTACTTCAGCTCTGAAGACTTTGCATTTCTGTCATTATTATATGGAGAAAAAGAAAAGAACGTCTCAACATCTATCAATCAGTTTCACCAAACAAAGATAGAGCTGAGTAATAAGAAGTGCTTTATTGAGTAAACTTCACCGGTTTGTAATTTTTTCCAGAGTTACATCCAGCAACCTGCAGCGATTCGTACGTATAGGTACGTTTTTTTAAGTTTTGCAGAAATGTATTTAGAGGCACGTATTTCGAATGAGACTATGTTGCCTGTCTCTCACTCAGTCTTTCTCTCAATGGCCGACGACGACCCTCACAGATCTCTCTCCTATGGGTTTCAATTACTCAACTCAATGTTACATCAATGTTGCCACAATGTGTTTGCGCAACAACTCAACTCAAGTCAATACGGAGTGGAACGAAAGAGAATCTGGACTCAGCTGTGGTCCAGACAATATTGACACGGCTAAACGCAAGACTTAGGGAGACTAATGCACTGGTTCATTTCTCCTCTCCCTCCCATCCACTCTCTCTCTCTACACCATCATAAAACCTCTCAGACATCTTGATGGTACAGTAATGCAGTGCAGAAACGTTCTTTATTACTTACATACGCTTTTATGCCTGACATTACCACATGTACTCTGTATATAAAAGTATTATCACACCTGTTGTTTCAAAGACATTTGAAAGATGTGACCAGGAAAAGGTCCAGGAAAACAGATCTGGGTCTCTTAGATAAAAAAGCGAACTGCTATATAATCAAAGTATGAGAGCAATGTTTATCTTTTCAATTTTCTTTTTCGCTTATGAAACCTTACAACATAAAACAATATCTGGAGATTTGCTAGAAAGAGATATAATATTTTTCTTCAATGCACCGTTGGACTTCAAAAGGAGATATGTGAATGGTACGTGATGTCACTGACGGTTGAAATGATGAAACGAGATGGCAAAGTCACAGCAGGAGGGGATTGTGGGATTGTGTGAAAGGTCACGTAGGCCTCCCCTTACCCTCGTGACCTTTATGAAGCTTTGTTGAGACTCTCTATCGCGGTATGGAGCGCATCTTTCAACCCCAGTTGCAGATAAAAAGCGCAGATGCAGAAGCCGAATCAAAGGCTAAATCAGCGTTTGGAAAGCTTTACAGCTAAAGTTGTAATTGCCATGAGTCTTTTGAAAATTCAAGGCGCACTCGGGTTCGTTTTGACTTCTGTAACTTTAATTTCTGAGGAAAAAAGGGCAGAACATTTTCTTTAGCACAAGGGTTAGGGGACAAATCAACCTTTTGCACAGCATTGATGCATGTAGCCATGACATTTCAAGGTCAAAAAGAGCAAATTTTGTGTTAGACAGTACATTCAACTAGCTCTACATCCAATTTCCCAGAATGCAAAAATGAGGCATTAAAAAAGATGAGTTAAAAAAGGCACCGTCCGTTAATAACATAATCGCAGGGTTGCCAGAATGGAGGAAGATGGTTCATTTTGATAGTAGCATCTGTGTGCAGCGACAGGAATCGCAGGAATACGACCTCCACACGTCTACGTTTTAAAAGGCTGATAAGAGCACTTTCCAGGGAAGTGTTTTACAACATCCTGCCTGCATGCAAACTGCCCCTGGAGAGAACGCCTGAGCGATATAGCAAGGAGGATAGTGCTGGTCTAAATCGAGATTCATGAGGCTTTTCTGAGATTGCGCAAGCTGTGTCCACTGGCCGTGGCGGCACTGGGTCATGCATGACTCCACACAGCCTGCTTATTTATCTTTTCGTCGCCATTTGTCTTTAGCAAAAAACTTCATCAGAATCATCCAACCTGCAAATATCCACAATCAAGAAAAAACACAACACAATCTTGCAGGCTGGCAGCCAAAGTTGCCTGTTCGTTCCAACGGTGTTGCTATGAGCTGCTATAAATAAATACTTTGTATCAACAACTAAAAGCTAATAAAAAGTACATTACAGCAGTACGGATCACACAGCCTCCTGCCAATTAGCACATAGTCATTTTTTACAACTCTGGGTCCCGGCTTTAATGAGACGCGGATGTGTATGGCATCAGGAAGCCATCAGGTGACTTTTATAAATAATGCTGCACTGCATTTCTGCTGTTTTCATATCCAGTCCAGCTGTTACATGCTACAGGCTAGCAGACAGCTAATTACCTACACTGCTTATCGCTGTTATAAACTTACGCCTGTTTTAATTGAATGTTTAACTCCTAATTGAGGGCACTGGACCATCATCTGTGGTACTGCATCAATCGAGTATTAAAAACACGCTTAGCTTCCATCTGCATGTTTTCATCTGGTGTCATTAGCAAAAATGCTTAGCACTTTAGACTTTCCATGACTGGTTTCTAGATTTTTCTTTGTTCTTCTAAGTGATTGTTTTGACTGTTTTCTAACTTTTCAAAAATGCCAGATACGTCTTTATTAATAGAGACAAAGGCTAACTGCTAAATCTTACTTTAACGTACATCATGTTGTGTTACTACATAATATGCCATTAGAAATAATAATAATTATAATAATAATAATAGTAATAATAATGATTAACACCTGTAACACACACCTAAAAGTAAAATAAAACATAAAAAATAATATCAAACTTAAAAAGATTCTTAAAATGAATAAAATGTATAAAATGATTATGTTTAATTATAAAATTATAGAAAATATATAATTAAATACTGGTAAAAAAATGTATAGCTTGAATAAGTCACTTTGGATAAAAGCGTCTGCTAAATGCATAAATTATTAAATTAAATTAAATTAAATATAATTTTATCATTATAATATAGTATAATATATACATTTATAAATGTATTTTTTATAAATGTATAGATTTATTACTTTATATAATTTATAAATACTAATAAAAATGTGTATGAATCGAATTGTACGATCCCCAAAGAAGTTTTCTAGGATATAGTTAACTTTTGAACATAAACTTTAAATTCTCCAAACAACAGCTAAGCAAACTCCCGCTCACAAACACACAGTTGTCATCACAAGTAGTACAAGTTTTTTTAAGCTCCCAGTCCGAAGAGAAGCAACAAAACGAGAGGGAATCTGTATGTGTGGGAGTGTGTGGGAGAAAAACAGACTCTCTCAAGAGAAAGGCAGAAAATGGCTCATCTATTTCAGTGAATCCTCAGTACCCTCTCTGGAGTGTTTTCACGGTGACCAGCCAGATGCCTCCTTTCAATAGAGACAAATGAACAAAAGACAAGCAAACCTGTGTGTGTGTGCATAAGCGTGTTTACAGGACAAACACAGAGAGAAATATAGAGGCACAGTAAGTGAAAGGTACTGAGGTGGGGGGAAGATGCCATGAGGGAACGGAAGGGATGCTTATGCAGCATAGATGCCCATCTGCCTTTCGAACGTCACTGGTGCTCTCCAGCTTGTGAAATGCATCTGGGTATTCTGGTGTGCCAGATATCTGCCCTCTGCTGTCTGACAACACAAACATGACTCGGAGAAGAGCATATGTGTGCATTGTGAAGAAAAATTGTCCAGTTTCACCTTGTAAATCTGCCAAAATATACAGTTTTCTGACAAACTGTTCACTCTTTGGGATGGTGGCTATATAGTTTTGTCATATATACAGAAACACTCAGTAGTGTACATTTACAATTTGATGTACAAGTAATTCACAAGTTAACACTCACATATAATAAATGGAGTAAAGTTTATTTGTATTTGGCGTGCTGGCCAAAGGGAAGGGCTCCAAGCTCGGAATTTGGGCCAAACCCAGAGTACTCCCCCCATCCCAGGTTGGGACAGGAATAGTTAGAAGTGAGGAGATGGGGTGTTGGAGGGATGCTGGAAAACTGTGAAGGAACAGAGGTAA